TTAGTACGACCATGAACTCTTTTGCCTAAATTTTATGCAGAATAAAAAAAATAATATAAAACGATAGCCAATTAAACCCTTCGTTTTCCTTCTTATCTTAGCTTAACACGGGTTAAGTATGGCAGCCTTTGGCTTTGTAAACTTCTCCCTTCCACGTTTTTCCTTGCCGTACATGAACGATTTCTTCATTTGCCGTATGTCTTGAAGTACAATTCTGCAGCAGCCCTTGAGTTTCCCTCAACTTCTCTTTCCATCTGAGGTGACCTTGTAAAATCTCTCTGGTAACCTGTTGTTTTCCATTCTCATCAAATGCCAAATCAAAAAAAGTATTAGAATTCTTCCTTCCTTATTCCTTATCATGCTCCCCCTGGCTGATTACGTTTTCTGGCACTGTTAATTTTTTTTTGTAAAATTTCCTGGTTTCGTTATTCGCTTCTGATTTGAGATAAAAATTCCCCGCAAGATAAGTGAGCGATGTGGGATCAGAGTACCAACGCATGAAGGAGAAAGACCAATAAAGAACTGCTTATAGAAACTCCTTATGATTTGATGGTAAGGAGGTTAAAATCGATGGAGAATTATCTCGGAACAATACATCAAGTATACAAGAGACCACGGGGAAGGCAAAAACCAGATGGATTGGTCAAATCAACAAAGATGCAATAGAGCTGTATACAGATAATTAGAAATAAATAAAGATCAAAACAGGAAAAGCTGGAAAAAGCTGGAAAAGGCTGGTTCAGGCGACAAAAGATCTACAAGGCCTTTAATACCAACAGAAAACAAAATTTAAAAAAAAAAAAATATATATATATATATATATACACACACACGTGTGTGGCAGGAAGAAATAACCTTGGCGACGGCTATTCAAAAGCGCTAATTGTTTGAACCTAATAAGCTTATGATACTCAACATTTTACGACTGAAACGCACTACTGAGTTTGATGGCTCTGATAAAAAAACAATCTTATTATCTTGAAGTACCCTTGTATTTCCCTCAAGTATTTCCTGAATCAATTATTTCAAAATAGGAAAAACAAAAATGAATAAAGACAAAGAACGATTCAAGGAAAAAGATAAACAAAATGTGACAGAAATGACAATAGATGGGAAAAATATGTAAAAACTCGAGTTAGAGAAAAATTATAAAGAACATGACAAACTATCAAACATTTGGTCTTCCGAACAGAAGTAAATTTGAGCGTTTTAAGTGGTTTGTTATAAAAGAAATTTAGGGAGCAAGTGCATTATCCGACAATGTTTTTTTATGCATATTTACAAGATAATTAGAGATGAAGAAAAGTGGTGGGGACTTCACGAGAGTGAAGATTTGGCCAGCAACCAGATCATAACGTTGAATACTTTATATTAAATACTAAGTAATTTTATTATAATTTTAGGTTTTTTTCTCTCAACCTGTTGGATATGATAAGATATATTTAAAATGTATTTTATTAGCTTTTATAATCATAAACGCATATTTAAAGTAAGGCTAAGAGATATTCGGAGACCATATACGTCATACCATGATGGACTCAGGCCGCAACCCAATTTCCCACAAAACCTCTCAGACACACATATGAAAAATTATATATTTAATAATTTATTTTTTAAAAAACACAAAGTAGCAGAAGGCCGCCTTAAACAGTTGTCGATTGATGAGGTGATCGGTGGTACAACTTACGTCAGTCAAGACTAAGAATTCCACGAGAGTGGTATTGAGGACTTTTACTATAAACAAAACATCTTTTTTTCATGACGTCATTGGAGAGTTTTCGCCTGTTGAAACGTCATCTAGATCTATATTGATGTTGATTGATAAGCTTTGTACAACAATTGTAATCCTTTTCGTATTGACTTCCTGAAACGTAGCAATGTAGAGCAAAGTGACATGATTGATCACGAAACATGATGAGTTTATTTTTCCTCGATTGTTCTTGTAGTATAAGACTGTAACCTCTATTTATAAATTATAATATAATCGATTACACATGTTAGTTAGATAAAGACAAGACAGATGGTATATTTGGTAATAGATAATAAAGCACACCTACGTTTGTTCTAAAGGTATTTTTATTAATTAATTATACATATTACATGGTGTCAGGTGAAATACCAACAAATTGAAAATGAATAATTCTAATTTGCGGCTGCAATCTCTTCAATTTGACAAGAACATTGCAACGAAGTGGCCAAAATGGAAACAGGCCTTCATTCTCTATTTAAAGGCTATAGAGAAGTATAAATCAACAGATGAGGAATTGAAAATAGCTCTTCTATTAACACAAATGGGTGAGGAAGCCATAGAAATACATTCTACATTCCAAGGTAAGAAAGATACTTTAGAAGCTGTTCTAAAATTATTTGATGAGTTTCTTCTATATTCGTTGTCGTATTGGTCTCTGACCAAGTATGATCTTGGTTCAGGGAGAACCTTTGTAATAGATCCTTCTTTCCATCGATCCTTCCATTTAACATAAACTGGTTGTCCCATCTTGAACTCCGTTTGGAAGAGGTTATAAAAAGGGCCAGACAGTCCAACATTAAATTTAATAGCAAGAAACTCCAGTTTAAATTAAATGAAGTTAAATATTTGGGACTAGTATTTGGAGCAGATGGAATCAAACCGGATCCTCTCAAGGTAAGAGCCATTTCTAATATTAAAGAACCTCAGTCTCCGAAGGAAATTCAAAGATTTTTAGGTGCAATAAATTTTTTGAACAAATTTATTCCAGTCTATTCACAAGTCACCGCCCCTCTTAGGGAATTATTGAAAAAGAGTGCTCAGTGGCAATGGTCTGATTCACAGAAGCAAGCTTTCTCTATTATAAAATCTTTAGTTTGTAATGCGCCCACTCTCAAACTGTTTGATCCGTCACTTAAAATCGAGATCCAATGTGATGCCAGTAAGGATGGGCTTGGGAGCTGTTTACTCCAAAACGGGCAACCAGTCGTATTTGCATCGAGAAGTCTTAATGACTCAGAAAAGAATTACAGTCAGATAGAGAAGGAGATGCTTAGCTTATGCTTCTCGGTCAATAGATTTCACCACTTTATTTACGGTCATAATAATGTTGAGATTTTTACGGATCATAAACCGTTGTTAGCAGTGCTCAATAAGGAGCTGTATAAAAATTCTTCAAGACTCCAAAGAATGCAACTGAAGCTATTAAAATATAAATTTTTATTATCCTATATACCAAGCTCAAAAATGTATATAGCGGACATGCTATCAAGAGCCTTTCTTGAAGAAGAAGGACCGGAAGACGTAGACTTTTCTCAGGTGGTTCATGCCATTACGCTAGAAGAATTGTTGCCGGTGCCATCAGAGGATATAAAAATCTTGCAAGAAGCCACCAGGGATGATTTCAGTGAACTTAGAAATTGTATCAGGAATGCTTGGGAAGGAGTTCATAAAAAGTGTTTGGAACGTGAAATAAAGATTTTTTATGGGCTCCGAGACGAACTTTCAGAAAATAAAGGAATTTTATTTTATAATGATAGAATTATTATACCACCGAGTCTCCGACGTCACTTCGTAAGCCAAATTCATTCTAAAGCTCATCTTGGAATAAACAAAACCGTTTCCCGTATTAAGAGCCTCATGTATTGGCCAAACATGTCCGAATACATTACAAACTTCATAAATTCTTGTTCCACGTGTCAAACCTTCCAAAACAATAAACCTAAAGAACCTCTTATAACATATGAAATTCCTAAATTTCCGTTTCAAGTTATTGGTATGGACATAGGCGAGTGTAATTCGAAAATTTTTCTGGCTGTAGAAGATTACTACTCAAGATGGTTGGATATTATACCGCTCAAGAATAAAACATCCACTGAAATTATCAAAAAACTAAAAATTCTTTTTAGTAATCATGGCACGCCTGAAATTGTACGTTGTGATAACAACCCGTTCAGTAGTGCAGAAATGGCAGCTTTTGCCAAACATTGGGGATTTAAAATTTGTACATCTAGTCCTCACTACCCTAGATCTAATGGTCTCTCGGAGAAAGGGATAGGTGTCGCGAAGAAAATGATAAAGAAAGTCTCTTATTCAGGAGGAGACATTTATGAAGCCATTCTAGAATACCGAACAACTCCCCTTTCTGGGCTCGAGTATTCTCCAAGCCAACTGTTGATGGGTCGAAGACTGCGAACCAGGGCGCCAGCAAGCATTGATCTTCTTATTCCCAAAATACCAGACGATGATGTGCGCCAAAGAATGGAGCTTCTAAAATTCAAAAGTAAAAAATATTATGACTCAACTTCTCGTCAATCAGAGGAGTTCAAGATGGGACAACCAGTTTATGTTAAATGGAAGGATCGATGGAAAGAAGGATCTATTACAAAGGTTCTCCCTGAACCAAGATCATACTTGGTCAGAGACCAATACGACAACGAATATAGAAGAAACTCATCCCACTTAAGACGCCTCACCACACCTAACACTGATCCTCTACTCAACCCAACTGATTCTGATTCTGATCCTCTACTCCAACCCTCCAATGCTTTGTTTCAGGAGGAACAGAGACAATCTCCGCGTCACCCGCAGAATGGTTCTTCCCTGCTGTTACCAGGACTGTCAATTTCCAATGATCAAGCTCAGCAAGCATCTCCAACTAGTGAAGGTATGCGCACCAGATCGGGCCGCCTGGTGAAGCCACCAAAAAGACTTTGTGAGGATTAAGGGAAGGGTGTAGTATAAGACTGTAACCTCTATTTATAAATTATAATATAATCGATTACACATGTTAGTTAGATAAAGACAAGACAGATGGTATATTTGGTAATAGATAATAAAGCACACCTACGTTTGTTCTAAAGGTATTTTTATTAATTAATTATACATATTACAGTTCTTCAATCGATGAATGGATTTTTATGTTTCAATCAACAACCCAAACAGTAAGTAAATGTTATAGATAATTAAAATACTAACAAGTGTTACTTTGTATCTAAAAAATGACAAATATAGACTTTAAAAAGAAGAAAAAAAAATGTTTTGATACAGTTATAAAAACGTACATATCACCTGCTTAAGATTTTTCTTCAGTACATCGAGGCGGTCTCATGTGTCCCATCTTTACGATGAGTTAAAGTGGCTCTTCCCTTCTTTCCGGAGACAATATTTTCTTGGATCTTTCCTATTCCAAACGATCAACACCCGACACCCTTCCTATATCTACAGTCTCCTACAGTTTAAACCCGTGGTCCACTCCCAGAAAACAAGATCCCGTGTTTCCGACCTTTATATCCCTACTAAGACTAAGACTTTTGAATATTCCTTTTTTGCCCGATCCACTGCCTTCTGGAATTCCTTGCCTTCTGATATCCGACATGCCTCTTTCTTATCCTTATTGAAATATCATCTCTACCAATTCCTTCTCACATCCCGAAATGACGTTATACAATGAAATAAATATTGCGAAACAGATTTTGACTGAGGTGAATGGTTGATAGAATTGATTGAGTTTTAATTTTAAAAATCAACCCATGCTTACATTATTTTGTTTGTTTTATCCATTTAAATAATGTTGTTGTTGTCTTGTTTTAATATACTTTTACTGAGATACTGTATATTTTCTTTAATATTGATTAATGTAATTTTTGGCCAGATTTAGTTTGTATTTTTTTGTTCATAACTGTTATTCATAAGGGACCTCGTCCCAGAATAAAGCTTACTTTCTATCTATCTTCATTCTTGCATTAAATTTATGCTCTGTACAAACGAAATTGTAAAGAAAATTGTCATTTACTTTCCGTTTTAAAATTATGGACTGACTTTTTTTTTTTTTTCTGTTGGCAATACAAAACTTATAGATATTTTTTCGCCTACTCCATTTCTGCTTATTTTGGGCTATTTCTTTTCATTTATTGCATCCTTGTTGATTTTATCTATCCATCTGCTTATTTTATTTTATTTTTATTTTTTTGATTCTCCTCTTCCTCGCCTATAAGGCTAAACGGTTTTTTCCGGGCCAGGGAGTGTGGGCGGGGATTTAAAAGACTCCCCTGGCACCGGGATGCGAACTCGGGACTGTTTTTCATCGTCTCTATGTCAGGTTGCCGGGCAACGGCGCTGCTGTGCACACTCGTCACAGCATTATAACTCTTAATTTAAGGTTTCTTGAGATTTTTCGGGATTTAAATACGTTTGAAAGGGAAAAGAAAGCTAATGGATTAAGAAGTACAATTTTGCACATTTATACATTTTTTTCAAGTGTTCCTTCTTTCTGCCTGAGGACATTGACATGTTCATAGAATTTGAGTCACCGAGAGATCTTAACAATTTGTAAGTTTGATTTTTATATTTTCAACACATAATCATAGCAATAAAATATAACATAAAATTATATTATAAATTGTAATACAATTTTTAACTAATACTATATTACTTATCATACTTAGGTGACTACCAATATTATGTTGAAACATTCATAATTGTTAAAAAAGATGTGTATTTCAATAAGTTATTCGTTTCAATAATTTATAAAAAAAAATCCCACCTAGTGAAAAAACGGACCTGGCCTAGTTTATAAAACAAACTAAAAATCAAAGCAGATAGAGATAGGGAAATCACAAGCTTTCAATATTCAACAGTCGACAAGCATAAATTTCCATACAAACTACTTCTCTGAAAAATCTATAAATGAGTCTAACTACTTCCAAATAGAACACAGGGAGCAAATATATGGTAGGAACTGTCTTTATCAAAGAATTAAAAAAAAAAAATTAAGCAGGTCAAACCGTGAAGAATTGACAATTCGTTTATATATGTTGAAATGAATTTTCGCATGAACATATTCTAAATAAGACATTTCAATCAGTTTAATTGACATCACCGTTACAATATAATGAATGCACTATTCGACCACCTCAAAGATATTTGCTAAAGCATAAATACAACAGAAAATTCGGTAAAAATCTTTATGGATTTTCTTTAAACAATTTGTTTTTTATCGTCAGGTGTAAACATGAATAAGAAGAGAACATTGTATACTAACGAATATTGTAAGTGAAAATTGTGAGATAACATCGCAAAAGTCTACGAGAAACAAATCGATGAAAACACTATCACGTTAAGCAATATAAATTTCTCTATTTGTGATAGTTATCAATGAAATAGGTGAAACTATAACCCATTCATTCCCAGGCATTCAAGTGATAATATCTAATCGGATTCATGAAATAAACATGAGATGCTTAATGATTGTCTTCAATTTTTTTAAGTGGTCCTTATTTGTGACAAAATGTAATATTACTCAATAAAGAAATGTTTAATGTTATGTACAGATGCACAATAATGTAGTATGTAGTGAACAAATATCAGCCTCCATTAGGATACACCATTCCTATAAAAGAATTATTTTATTTATGTTATAATTTTAATACATGATTTTAATCATAATAATAAGGTTAATACTTTGCCTCAACCTATTGGTAGCCGTCAGAGGTTGGCAAAAAGGTCCACAAGGATATTGCCAAAACATCACCAACTAATACCATAACCACTATCGACTATTAATAACCATCAAATGGTCTGAAGGTTAAAGGAAATGATGAGGTCCGGGCATGGAGAACGATGGTACATAACAGAACTTCTTATCTGAATTTATTCAGTTACATTAGTTGGCAAAGGAAGATCTCTCATCCAGCTCCTTTTTAGTCTCTTCCTGGTATTCAGATAAACGTCAACAATACCTGTATTTCTTTTTAGTGTGTTGGTTTGTCCGTGTAAATTAGTATAAAACCGTCCCGAAAATTTATCAAATAAAAGATTCGAGTACGATTTATTTGAAAACTAAAGTAATGTAAACCGGCTTAGGGTAGATCAGTGTAAGCATTTTAATATCATCTAATATTGCTGATCATAAACTTTTTGCCATAGCCTTATTTCGTCAAGCAATAATTTCTCTTAAAAGTAGCAGAAACAGTGAAGCTTGTGTGATGCGGGCAACAGATTTTCTTACTTTCACTTAGTTATCTTTTTTCTCTCATTCATCCCTTTCTGACACCAGGGTATGAATCCGTAATCGTACATCGGAAATTGAATAGCTGTAACTTCGTTATGTCTTGAACAACTATTGTAAAGTGGATGGTCACGTAATAAGATGTTTTTACGTTAAATTTGTGTGTGTGGTTTAGATTACACCACATATCAGAGAGGAGAATAAGTCTAAGTTTAAACCTAAAAAAAAAATCCTGTATCAAAATAGGTTAATCAAAAACTGTATTGGAATGAATGGGCAAGTTAATAAACAGTTCGGAGTTGAGCACATTTATGGATGGCCACGCAAAATCTATCATGCCGTTCCTAACTTCATCGAAAGAAATCATAGATGGATTTCAACACGTTTCTTATGAATATTATGTTAATATTTTATCGCCTTAACCCAGCCTTTTCCATCTCTGCTCCATACGCTCCTGTACAGGTAAACCGGAGCATGCGTGCCGGTGAACGCACAGACTTGAACATGTGTGTGAGTCATTCCGTTATACTTGTACAGTTTTCAGAGTAATTAACACAGTTTATAATCCAGTAAAGCGATCGTTGTTCATCGTGTTCATTCGCCTTCTCTCGACAGAGTTAAAATCTTCCGGTTTACCATAGCGTGTGTGCGCTCTATCCTGCACACGAATACTTTTCTGGTTTATATTATTATTAAACCTGTACAGGTATATCGTAACGTGTAAGCCCGGCCTAAGGTTAGAAACAACTAGATTTCGATGGATTTATTAGTTTATTTTAAGCTTATTAATTTGATAGATATCCGGATCGAGATAGATTCGAAACATCATGATGATTATGTATAATTTTATTGGTGATAAAGAAAGGAGCATTTAAGATTTCGGATTATAAGGATTGGATACGACAGGAATTTAAAGGCGTACTAGAGCTCCAAAGCTCAACTGTAACTGATATTAGGAGATAAAACCGTGTTGTAAAATATTTTTCATAAGAATGCCGTACAACGTTTTGTAAACTGTTATATAATTTGTTTAGTTAACATAAACCCAGATTTACTTATATATCCTGTAAAATAACCTACAGATTATTTCAAAGTTTATTATAGCTTTATTGCAATCAAAAGTTCCATTCCATACACAGTTTTACATCTTGCCCAATGATGTAGATGTGAAACACAGAAGATAACATTAGCAGAAACCTACTAGATAATAAAGGCAAATCAAAACAAAGAGAAGAGAGAAACTAAAATAATCTATGAAGGTTACTAGACTAGGGCAGATTATGAGGATGCGGAGTATTATCGCCTGATCTGCCAGCCTTCCCACACCCAGAGAGGAGCATCCTCTCCCACGTGATGGGATACTCGACCTCTCAGTGTCATAGGCTCTTCTGCTGGAGTCCAGGAACGACTTCTTCAGGACAAAGAAGTAGACAGAAGAAGTCTGCTGTTATTTAAGCTTTTTCAACTTAAAAAATTGAAAAACACAATTAAGGATGATGAGACATAATTCTGATGATCTATCAAATTTCATAATCATTTTTCGTCAAAAGTATTAAAATTTTGAAAATAAAGATAATACTACTTGAATGCCACTCTTCAAAAGTATAGTCCATTCTTATCAAGCTAATATGGTTTCGAGGAAAACAGGGTTATTATGTAAAAATACATATAATACAAAAAATAGTTGGAATACATAATGAAACAAAGGTCAAGTAATGTGAGGTATTATTATTATTATTATAAAGTATACAGAAAAAAGATTTTTATAGACAAGACTGTTTTTCTTTTATCCCCTCCCTCCACAATAAAAGTGAACAGTATATATGAAATATATTTCGGAAAATATACCATAAATAAACACAATAAATCGTTTTATTAGCAGAATTGTGTATAAATATTTATATGAAATATATTTCGGAAAATATACCATAAATAAACACAATAAATTGTTTTATTAGCAGAATTATGTATAAATATATAATAAGGTAATATAAATCCCTTCTCCAGCTCTTCAGGAGCGTCGGGTATTGATGAATGTGGTATATAAAACTTAAAATCCAACTACAACTACAATAAGAATCATTGAAAGAAAAATATGGTACTCATAAAAATTTGGAATTTTGTTCTTAATGATCTCAAAACTCAGATGGTTTCTAAAATCGGCGAATAAAGACGGAATACATATTGATTTTAAGCTTTAAAATATTCCATTTTCAACATAAACTATGATTATTGTCAAAGGCCCCTTAACTGCGAAGATCAGCACAGGACGATTGTCACATGTTTAGATTCTAAAAATTAGAATATTACCACTTACTTTAGTCTTCGTCGGACTAAACATCTATTAAAGAGTTAAATGGATTAAAATA